GAGGAGGTTCTCCACCTACTTACATGAGAAGTAACTGAGGAGTGAAAAGAAAACCAGTGTCCAGGCCATGGTGCTTTCCTTCAAAAGGTCTCCCTTCCTAAAACCAAGGACTATCTACTTGGGATCACTCTGCCTTCTTTCTTAAGTCTTTCTAGAACTGAAGAAAGATCCATGCAAATATAGACGCACTGATTGGCTTTCTTTGAATTGATTTTGACCAATGAGCAGAGGAGACATTTGCATGAAGAGAAGGGTTAAGGGGAGGCCTTTATTTAGGTTTTAAGTCATAACTAGGAAAATTAGGAGAAAGGCATTCACAAAAGATGAACGCAGGATGGGGATTTGAGGAGGACTAGTTTTACCAGAAGACAAATTGATGCAATTCCAGACAAGAAGGAGAAACTGTATAAAGGAACACTTTGCAACTCTACAGGTAATTACGGTAGACTGCAATGACATGGGAATCTCCCTCAAAAGTGTATCTGGACATAAAAAACTCTCCAGAATTGTCCCAAATCCTTCTCCACACAATACCTCGGATGTCACAAACTGATTATAAAATCTGTTTTTTTTTTTCCTTTCTTGATATCTGCATGAGGTATTTTGCCGCTGGGGAAATTGCTCAGTCTGTTGCACAGAGGACAGTTTCAGGAGTGTTTGGCTGGGTGCATTTCTAGGAAGGTGGCACCCTCTGCTGTCAAGTCCTGTACCCATAACTGGGTGACACTTTCTTCTATTCCAAATAAGTTTCAGAGCAAGGTGCCCTAGCCTCAAATGTCTTCACGGTTCCTTCACTTTCTCTCAGAGCAACGCCGGTTCCTTTATTGTCCCTTCACACTTGGTTGATTCAAATCGTCTTGATGCTGAGAGAAGATTATGCAATCATGCATGGTAGAAAAGTAGGGGAGGAAAGCACATAACTTTCCTGTGACTTTGGTGATGATCCATGATGGGAACTCTCTTGCCTTGGAATTGGAATAAGGGAGTTCAGAGTCATTGCCTGGGGTGATTGACACAATGCTAAGGAGATGTCTTTAAGAAAACAGAGATTTGGAGTATGGGTGGTCATGCATGCAAGATCTAACCTTATGGGAGGTTCTTGATGAAGCGTCTCATTTACTTTGCTCACAGTGTCTCCCAGTAACATAATAATAGTCTCCTTCATCCTTTCCCTGAACACTGCTCATGGTTGAGAAAGCAGTTTTCTTGGGGGTGTTTGTAGAGGTAGAGAAATGACCAGAAGATCCAGGGCCAAATTTTGTCTTTTGGGAGGTTGTATTATAATACAGGAGAAACCTGGGTCTTTCTCCTTTTAGAACTTTTTGATTAAAAAAAAATCTATTTCTCCACTTCTTTTGGTTTGTTCGTAGGCTAAACACAATTTTCAACTGCAAAATGTCAACGTAGGGAATGAACACATGGCTTACTACACAAGTGGGAACTATAATGTATGTCCTTGTATATTATACTCATCATTTCATTCTTCCGCCCAGAAGAGTGAAGATGTTTTTCTTATGTTTGTATATTTTAGTTGCCTTCTTCTGCAAGATGGATCTCTCTTTTTATCTCTGCTTGGCAGCAACAGCTTGCAGTGCACTTTCATTCCATCATAGAAAAGCCAACGCAACCTTTGAGCAGCTCTTTGCTCTGCGAAGGAAGAAGGTTTTTGTCTCAGTTCCCCATTAGATTGTATCACTGTGGAACACGTTTCCACTGCTATACCACATGTAACAGTGATAATCAGCCTCGTCTTCAGCCTGAAGGTTGGTGATGGTTAAGTAGCCGTTGTTGCCTGATCGAGTTCCCGTGAATCGGTCTGGAATCCCTTCTCCCCTGTTACAGCCATCACAATGAACAAAGCGAGGAGCTTCCCCAGATCTCTGCTGAAGCCAGTAAATATAGTTTGGAGAGCTGCTGATGGCACAGGATATTTTAATTGTCCCTCCTAGAGATCCAGACTGGGAGACCGACTGAGTCAAGGTGGGCTGTGAAGTGACACCTTTACAAAGAGGGGAAAAAAGAAGGAAATAATGAAGATTTGTTTTATTATCTGGGCCTCCAAAAATCCCAGAACCATCCTTTGGATGGACCATATAGGATTTTGTATTGTGCAGACCACAGAGTTTTTATCGGGCAGTTTAAGAAGAGGTCCCACACATACTTACGTGAGAAATAAGTAAGAAGGGAAAGGAAAACCAGTGTCCAGGCCATGGTGCTTTCCTTCAAAAAGTCTCCCTTCCTAAAACCAGAGAATATCTACCTGGGATCCTTCTGCCTTCTTACTTAAGACCTCCTTTCTCCCATACAAAATATATCTCAGAGAAAGGTGATCCCAGCCTCAAACTTTTGCAGGGTTCCTTCTTTCCTCCTCAGAGCAAAGCAGATTCTTTTAATGTCCTTCATCCATGGTTGAGTTGGGTCACCTGGTTGTCCAGAGAAGCTTTTGCAATCAATAAAGCCAGGGAGAGATGTTTTCTGTTCAGAAAGATATTCTCAATAACAGCATTTAAATTATATTTAGCATAAATAGGCCACAGACAAAGTTATCTCTGCTTGGCAGCAACAGCTTGCAGTGCACTTTCATTGCATCATAGAAAAGCCAACGCAACCTTTGAGCAACTCCATGTTCTGTGAAGGAAGAAGGTTTTTGTCTCAGTTCCCCATTAGATTGTATCACTGTGGAACATGTTTCCACTGCTATACCACATGTGACAGTAATAATCAGCCTCGTCTTCAGTCTGAAGGTTGGTGACGGTTAAGTAGCCGTTGTTGCCTGACCGGGTTGCCGTGAATCGGTCTGGGATCCCTTCTCCTCTGCTGTTGCAGGTATCACAGTGCACAAAGCGAGGGGCTTCCCCAGATCTCTGTTGAATCCAGACAATGTAGTTTGGAGAGCTGCTGATGGCACAGGATATTTTAATTGTCCCTCCTAGAGATCCAGACTGGGAGACCGACTGAGTCAAGGTGGGCTGTGACATGATGCCTTTACGAAGTGAGGAAAACAGAGGAAACGATAAAGAATTGTTATATTATCTGGGCCTCCAAAAATCCCAGAACCATCCTTTGGATGGACCATATAGGATTTTATATTGTGGAAATTAGAGAGTTTTTATTACACAGTTTAAGAAGAGGTTCTCCACCTACTTACATGAGAAATAACTGAGGAATGAAAAGAAAACCAGTGTCCAGGCCATGGTGCTTTCCTTCAAACGGTCTCCCTTCCTAAAACCAAGGAATATCTACCTGGGATCCTTCTGCCTTCTTACTTAAGTCTTTCTAGAAGTGAAGAAAGATCCATGCAAATATAGACGCACTGATTGGCTTTCTTTGAATTGCTTTTGACCAACGAGCAGAGGAGATATTTGCATAAAGGGACGGGTTAAGAAGAAGTCTTTATTTAGGTTTTAAGTCATAATGTAGGAAATTTAGGAGAAAGGAATTCACAAAGAATGAAGTCAGGTTTGGGCAAGGCCTGGTCTACCAAAAGACAAACTGAGGTGTCTACCAGGTGGCACCCTCTGCGGTCAAGTCCTGTAACCATAACTGGGTGACACTTTCTCCCATACAAAATATATCTCAGAGGAAGGTGATCCCAGCCTCAAACTTTAGAGCCTTGATAGTACAGTGGTTTAGTGCACCCTGTCACCCTGCTGGTTCGAATCTCTCCAAGGCTCAAGGTTGACTCAGCCTTCCATCCTTTCTAAGGTAGGTGAAATGAGGACCCATTTTGTGGGGCAATAAGCTGACTTTGTATAAAATATACAAAAGAATGAAGGCTATTGCTTAACGCATTGTAAGCCGCCCTGAGTCTCCGGAGAAGGGCGGCATATAAATCAAATTAAAAAAAAAAAAACTTTTGCAGGGTTCCTTCCTTCCTCCTCAGAGCAAAGCAGATTCTTTTAATGTCCTTCATCCTTGGTTGAGTTGGGTCACCTTGTTGTCCAGAGAAGCTTATGCAATCAATAAAGCCAGGGAGAGATGTTTTCTGTTCAGAAAGATATTCTCAATAACAGGATTTAAATTATATTTAGCATAAATTGGCCACAGACAAAGTTTCCAAAATTGTGTTGTTACACCAAATTCAGCATAATATCCCCATTTTCCCCCCAACTTTTGGAATTCCTGTGACATATGGGTCTTGATCGGGCTTAACAAAAAAGTCACAAAAGTCAGAAAAACAAAGTCACAAAAACAAACATTTGGTTACTTTTCTTTTGTCCAATTCAACATCACCATTTTCCTCTGTTTTGACGACTACTGTTTAATAACATCGTATACCTAATTCCTCATTGGCAGAAAGATAGATCTTTCTATGCTTCCATGAACGAAAATTAAAGCATGAAATTAGAAGGAAAGGTTAATGACCCTTCTGATCACAGTGATATGGGAAACATCTTGAGATGATTCCACCAGAAGTGAATTGCTACGGATTATAGAATTTGAGGGTGGGCTACCTCCAACTTTTGTTGTTATTTTATTTGGGACGTTACCTGATTTCCACAGTGCCTTGTGAGAAGTCAGTTTGGAGCATTCTCTCTGGGGTCATTGTGGAGGCAGGGAAGAGGAGAGGAACGGAAGGGCTGAATCAGGAGAACCTATCACCGATGTGCATGAGGAGAATTTATCGTAGAACTTTTTGATTAAAAAAAAATCTATTTCTCCACTTTTTTTAGTTTGTTTGTCGGCTAAACACAATTTTCAACTGCAAAATGTCAACGTAGGGAATGAATGCATGGCTTACTACACAAGTGTCCTTGTATATTAATGTATGTCCTTGTATATTATACTCATCATTTCATTTTTGCGTCCAGAAGAGTGAAGATGTTTTTCTTGTGTTTGTATATTTTAGTTGCCTTCTTCTGCAAGATGGATCTCTCTTTTTATCTCTGCTTGGCAGCAACAGCTTGCAGTGCACTTTCATCACATCATAGAAAAGCCAACACAACCTTTGAGCAGCTCTTTGCTCTGCGAAGGAAGAAGGTTTTTGTCTCAGTTCCCCATTAGATTGTATCACTGTGGAACTGTACCACGTTTCCACTGCTATACCACATGCAACAGTAATAATCAGCCTCGTCTTCAGCCTGAAGGTTGGTGATGGTTAAGTAGCCGTTGTTGCCTGATCGGGTTCCCGTGAATCGGTCTGGGATCCCTTCTCCTCTGCTGCTGCAGGTATCACAGTGCACAAAGCGAGGGGCTTCCCCAGATCTCTGCTGAAACCAGTGAATGTAGTTTGGATTGCTGCTGATGGCACAGGATATTTTAATTGTCCCTCCTAGAGATCCTGACTGGGAGACCGACTGAGTCAAGGTGGGCTGTGAAGTGACACCTTTACAAAGAGGGGGAAAAAAGAAGGAAATAATGAAGATTTATCATATTATCTGGGCCTCCAAAAATCCCAGAACCATCCTTTGGATGGACCATATAGGATTTTATATTGTGGAAATTAGAGAGTTTTTATTACACAGTTTAAGAAGAGGTCCCACACATACTTACATGAGAAATAAGTAAGAAGGGAAAGGAAAACCAGTGTCCAGGCCATGGTGCTTTCCTTCAAAAAGTCTCCTTTCCTAAAACCAAGGAATATCTACCTGGGATCCTTCTGCCTTCTTACTTAAGTCTTTCTAGAAGTGAAGAAAGATCCATGCAAATATAGACGCACTGATTGGCTTTCTTTGAATTGCTTTTGACCAACGAGCAGAGGAGATATTTGCATAAAGGGAAGGGTTAAGAAGAAGTCTTTATTTAGGTTTTAAGTCATAATGTAGGAAATTTAGGAGAAAGGAATTCACAAAAAATGAAGTCAGGTTTGGGCAAGACCTGGTCTACCAAAAGACAAACGGAGGTGTCTACAGGTGGCACCCTCTGCGGTCAAGTCCTGTAACCATAACTGGGTGACACTTTCTCCCATACAAAATATATCTCAGAGAAAGGTGATCCCAGCCTCAAACTTTTGCAGGGTTCCTTCTTTCCTCTTCAGAGCAAAGCAGATTCTTTTAATGTCCTTCATCCTTGGTTGAGTTGGGTCACCTGGTTGTCCAGAGAACCTTATGCAATCAATAAAGCCAGGGAGAGATGTTTTCTGTTCAGAAAGAAATTCTCAGTAACAGCATTTAAATTATATTTAGCATAAATTGGCCACAGACAAAGTTTCCAAGATTGTGTTATTACACCAAATTCAACATAATATCCCCATTTTTTCCCCAACTTTTGGAATTCCTGTGACATATGAGTCTTGATCGGGCTTAACAAAAAAGGTGGACAAAGTCACAAAAACAAATATTTGGTTACTTTTCTTTTGTCCAATTCAACATCACCATTTTCCTCTGTTTTGACGACTACTGTTTAATAACATCGCATACCTAATTCCTCATTGGCAGAAAGATAGATCTTTCAATGCTTCCATGAACAAAAATCAAAGCAAGAAAATAGAAGGAAAGGTTAATGACCCTTCTGATCACAGTGATATGGGAAACATCTTGAGATGTTTCCATCAGAATGAATTGCTATGGATTATAGGGTCTGAGGGTAGGCTACTTCCAACCTTTGGCGTTGTTTCATATGGTGCTTTACCTGATTTCCACAGTGCCTTGTGAGAAGTCAGTTTGGGGTCATTGTGGAGGCAGGGAAGAGGAGAGGAACAGGAGGGCTGAATCAGGAGAACCTATCACCGATGTGCATGAGGAGAATTTATCGTAGAACTTTTTGATTAAAAAAAAATCTATTTCTCCACTTCTTTTGGTTTGTTTGTAGGCTAAACACAATTTTCAACTGCAAAATGTCAATGTAGGGAATGAACGCATGGCTTACTACACAAGTGGGAACTATAATGTATGTTCTTGTATATTATACTCATCATTTCATTCTTGCACCCAGAAGAATGAAGATGTTTTTCTTGTGTTTGTATATTTTAGTTGCCTTCTTCTGCAAGATGGATCTCTCTTTTTATCTCTCCTTGGCAGCAACAGCTTGCAGTGCACTTTCATTACATCATAGAAAAGCCAACACAACCTTTGAGCAGCTCTTTGCAATGCAATGGGAGAAGGTTTTTGTCTCAGTTCCCCATTAGATTGTATCACTGTGGAACACCTTTCCACTGCTATACCACATGTGACAGTAATAATCGGCCTCGTCTTCGGCTTGAAGGTTGGTGATAGTTAAGTAGCCGTTGTTGCCTGACCGGGTTGCCGTGAATCGGTCCGGGATCCCTTCTCCTCTGCTGCTGCTGCCATCATAGTGCACAAAGCGAGGGGCTTCCCCAGATCTCTGTTGAATCCAGCCAACGTAGTATGGATTGCTGCTAATGGCACAGGAGAGTTTAATTGTCCCTCCTAGAGATCCAGACTGGGAGGGAGGCTGAGTCAAGGTGGGCTGTGAAGTGGCGCCTTTACAATATCGGGAAAAAAGAGGAAACAATTAAGAATTGTTATATTATCTGGGCCTCCAAAAATCCCACAGCCATCCCTTGGATGGACCATATAGGATTTTATATAGTGGCAATTAGAGAGTTTTTATTACACAGTTTAAGAAGAGGTTCTCCACCTACTTACATGAGAAATAACTGAGGAGTGAAAAGAAAACCAGTGTCCAGGCCATGGTGCTTTCCTTCAAAAGGTCTCCCTTCCTAAAACCAAGGAATATCTACTTGGGATCCTTCTGCCTTTTTACTTAAATCCTCCTAGAATTGAAGAAAGATCCATGCAAATATAGACGCACTGATTGGCTTTCTTTGAATTGATTTTGACCAATGAGCAGAGGAGACATTTGCATGAAGGGAAGGGTTGAGGAGATGCCTTTATTTAGGTTTTAAGTCATAACGTAGGAAAATTAGGAGAAAGGCATTCACAAAAGATGAACGCAGGATGGGGATTTGAGGAGGACTAGTTTTACCAGAAGACAAATTGATGTAATTCCAGACAAGAAGGAGAAACTGTATAAAGGAACACTTTGCAACTCTTCAGGTAGTTACGGTAGACTGCAATGACGTGGGAATCTCCCTCAAAAGTGTATCTGGACATAAAAAACTCTCCAGAATTGTCCCAAATCCTTCTCCACACAATACCTTGGATGTCACAAACTGATTATAAAATCTGTTCTTTTTCCCCTTTCTTGACATCTGCATGAGATATTTTGCAGCTGGTAAAATTGCTCGGTCTGTTGCACAGAGGACAGTTTCAGGAGTGTTTGGCTGGGTGCATTTCTAGGAAGGTGGCACCCTCTGCTGTCAAGTCCTGTAACCATAACTGGGTGACACTTTCTTCTATTCCAAATAAGTTTCAGAGCAAGGTGCCCTAGCCTCAAATGTCTTCAAGGTTCCTTCACTTTCTCTCAGAGCAACGCCGGTTCCTTTATTGTCCCTTCACACTTGGTTGATTCAAATCGTCTTGATGCTGACAGAAGATTATGCAATCATGCATGGTAGAAAAGTAGGAGAGGAAAGCACATAACTTTTCTGGGACTTTGGTGATGATCCATGATGGGAACTCTCTTGCCTTGGAATTGGAATAACGGAGTTCAGAGTCATTGCCTGGGGTGATTGACACAATGCTAAGGAGACGTCTTTAAGAAAACAGAGAGTTGAAGTATGGGTGGTCATGCATGCAAGATCTAACCTTATGGGAGGTTTATGATGAAGCGTCTCATTGACTTTGCTCACTGTGTCTCCCAGTAACACAATAATAGTCCCCTTCATCCTTTCCCTGAACAGTGCTGATGGTTAAGAAAGCAGTTTTCTTGGGGGTGTTTGTAGAGGCAGAGAAATGACCAGAAGATCCAGGGCCAAATTTTGTCTCTTGGGAGGTTGTATTATAATACAGGAGAAACCTGGGTCTTTCTCCTCCCTTTTGCTGGTACCAGTGGAAGCCACCGAAATAATACCCACTGCTAACATTGCAGGAGAGTTTTACTGGTTCTCCAAGAGATGCCGAGAGGGCTGATTCCTGAGTCAAGGTGAATTGACACATTGCAACTGAAAGGAAAAAAAATCAATATTAAAAACCCTTCAAAGATGGAAACTGAAGCAAAGAAAATTGCACAGAGTGATAAAACAGCCAAGGTGTTTGATTTCACCTGGAGAATAAGAGAAGAGGAGAAGCAGAAGAGTCCAGACCATGATGGAGAAAATGAAGGGGAGCAAAGTCCAATTTAGTTGTAATCCAAAGCCAAGGAGTTTAGTGGCTCTCACTTCCTGATTCTCCCTTAAGTTCTGTACTGAAAGTGCATGTAAATATCTACTTGCCTCATTGGCCAGAAGGAGTGAAGAAAACAGTATTTAATGAAACTCCAAGAGATCAACCTTCTACCCAAAATACGCATATAAGCTCTGTGAATAAATCCATAAGTAAAAGAAGTTGAGTGTGCCAACCACTCAATGTTCTTTTCTTGGCTTTGGAATGTTCCTCAAACTCACATATATGAAAAAGAGTCAGGACAAATTCTACTAGATTGCTCCTGACTGAAAATTTCCCTGTGGCAAAAAGGCAACTAACATTGAGTTTTCATTTTAAGAAAGGTCACACTCCCTGCTTTTTATTTACTTCTCTGCATCCCATAGCATTTTGAAACAGGACTTGGTGTTCTGGAACCCAACGGGAAGGTTCTCTTATCTTTGTGTCCTTCCATTTCCAATTTCATTTACTCCAATGGTACCCAGAAGACTGGAGCTGGTCTGTCCCATTCAACATCACCAATATCCTCTGTTTCCAATTTTTTGTGTGTAATAGCATCACTAACATAATGGCAGAATCATAGATCCTCCAATGCTTCCATGAGGAAATCGTGAAACAAGGAAATGTAAGGAAAAGTCAACAATCCTTCTGGGCACAGTGGTACTAGAAATATCTTGAGGTGTTTCCACCAGATGTGAATTTCTGTGAGTAATAGAGTTCATGGACGTGCTACCTCAAACCTTTGGCCTCATTTCATGGGGTGCTTTACCTGATTTCCAAGTTGCCTTGGGAGAAATTAATTTTGACCCTTTGGGTGTTTGTGGATGCAGTCAAGAAGAAATAGACAGTGTGGAAGGGAAGGGCAGAGTCGGGAGAAACCTACCTCATATCTGCAAGAGGAAAATTCAACTTGGAACATCTAAATTAAAATGTCTTATTTCTGCCACTTGGGTATTTCTACCTGAAAAATGTCAAAATGGGGAATGAAATCAATGGATTACTAAACAAGCGAGTACTATAATGTATGTGAGTATATATTAAAATTTCTCTACACTAGTTGTTTTAATCTTGTGACTAAAAGAGCGAAGGATTTTTTCTTGTGTTTGTGCCTTATAGTTGGATTCTTCTTCTGCAAGATGGATCTCTGGTTTACTCTCTGCCTGGAATAGATCACACGCAGTGCCTTTTCATTCGATCAGAGAAGGACCAACCCAACCTTTGAGCAACTCTCTGCTATTCAAAAGAAGAAGAAGGTTTTTGTCTCAGTTCCCCATTAGATTGTCTCACTGTGGAACACTCCACCACTGCTATACCACCTGTAACAGTAATAATCAGCCTCGTCTTCAGCCTGAAGGTTGGTGATGGTTAAGTAGCCGTTGTAGCCTGATCGGGTTGCCGTGAATCGGTCTGGGATCCCTT